ACCACTGTGCCAGGAAAAATGAAACTTATATGGAAGCATCCTCAGGTAGTGTAGATCCAAGTTTATTCAAATCATGACCCCCGGGGCTAGGGCGGGGCCATAATGGCTGACCAAAGTTTTACATATTAGAAATATATAGGAAAATTCTTTAAAAATCTTCTTCTAAAGAATATAGCAAAGCCATGATTTGTAATGGGACCAATTTTGGATTTAAAACTTTTCAATAATAAATCAATTTCTACTTTTTCCTAGCCACAGTGCTCAGTTGAGCGATGTGGTCCATGGGCCTCTTGTTAAAAAATCTTCTTCTCAAGAACCACTGGGCTAGGAAAGATGAAACTCATGTGGAATCATTCTCAGGTAGTGTAGATTCAAGTTTGTTCAAATCATTACCCTGGGGGTAGGGCGGGGCCAAAATGGCCAATCAAAGTTTTACATAGGAATATATAAGAAAAATCTATAAAAAAAACTTCTTCTCAAGAACAACTGGTCCAGGAAAAATGAAACTCATGTGGAATCATCCTCAGGTATTGTAGATTCAAGTTTGTTCAAGTCATGACCCCCGGGGGTAGGGGGGGGGGCCAAAATGGCCAATCAAAGTTTTACATAGGAATATATAGGAAAAATCTTTAAAAATCTTCTTCTCAAGAACCACTGGGCCAGGAAAGATGAAACTCATGTGGAAGCATCCTCAGGTAGTGTAGATTCAGGTTTGTTCAAGTCATGACCCCAGGGGGAAGGGCGGGGCCAAAATGGCCGATCAAAATTTTTCATAGGAATATATAGGAAAAATCTTTAAAAATCTTCTTCTCAAGAACCACTGGGATAGGGAAAGATGAAACTCATGTGGAATCATCCTCAGGTAATGTAGATTTAAGTTTGTTCAAATCGTGACCCCCGGGGGTAGGGCGAGGCCAAAATGGCCATTCAAAGTTTTACATAGGAATATATAGGAAAAATCTTTAAAAATCTTCTTCTCAAGAACCACTGGGCCAGGAAAAATGAAACTCATGTGGAATCATCCTCAGATAGTGTAGATTCAAGTTTGTTCAAATCATGACCCAGGGGTAAGGGTGTGGCCAAAATGGCCGACCAAAGTTTTACATAGAAATATATAGGGAAACCTTTTTAAATCTTCCTTTCAAGTACTTCAAAGCCATAATTAGTAATATTTATATGGAATCATCATCAGGTAGTGTAGATTCTAGTTTGTTCAAATCATGATCACCTGGGGGGTTAAAATTCAAGCCCCCCCCCCCCCCCCGCAACTTTAGTTAATTTTCAGTTCTGATCTGATATGTGCTTTTTCCTAGCTGATCTGCTCAGATGAGCGCTGTGGCCCCTGGGCCTCTTGTTTTTTTTGCTTATCAACCTTTTCAGGTAAGTAAAAAAAAATTCTCTGGCTGCCCCCCCCCCCCAATTTCAAAAACGATGCTACGCGCCTGATGTAGTTATTATTAATATATAATACAAATTTTAATACACTTCCACAGTTTTAATGGTGAGGTAAACTTGTAAATAATAGATTAAATAATTTAAAAAAAACGAGACAAAAGTTATATACATTTTGTAACTCCATCTATCAGGTTTTTTAAATAATCTGGTATGTATCCTCTAAATTGTTATGTTATAACTCAGGTGGCAGTCAAAGCCATTGGACCACTTTTTAAAGGACAAAATGTTAGAAATAAAAAAAAAATGGGATCACAGAGATTTAAAAGAAAAGTTATTAGCTTTAGAGTAAGCGAACGGTTTTATGTATGAAACAATATGTAACGTCAAGTGCATTTCACTTGATTCAAGATTACAAGTCTTTTGAATTCCAGAGATTATTAGCTTAATTACACCCGAAATAGATTGCACCGATATGAGACAACAGACATGACTTTTACATTAGCAATTCTACTAGAGTTTCGTGGGGCTCCTCCATTTATCCCTGACCTATACCTCAAGTATTGCCCAATGCTTCACAATGCACGAAGAACATTATTTACAATGTCATTAAATATCACACGTAAACACTACCACATGTGTACAAGTATGTATCGTTACCAAAGCTCTGCCCGTGTGTAGAAGTTCCAACTCCCCGTCGAGTTTCATTCGGAAGTAACCTGGAATTACTTGGAAGTATTTGGAAGCATTCGGAATTCCAAGTACTTCCCTGTCATTCGGAAAATTTTATTTGGAAAAATCTTAACTCAATTTGGAATTTACATGGAATTATTTGGAAGTTCAGAGATTAAACTTAGTCTGTATATTTAATGAGCAGATGTTATTGTTATCAACTGATCGGGCTCGAGGTCTCGTCTCGGGCTCAGCCTCATAGATTTTGAAATCGGGCGGTCTAACCTAAACAGTGTTGCATCCGAGTTGCATCATGATCACGTTGAATGGATGATAAATCTTTTGTGTAGTAATCCAAAGGATATATTTTACATTTTTTATGTGTGTGACTCCTCCAATGGTACGTGTATCTTCTTCATTTTCCCTTGGAATTTAAGCAATAACCTCAGTGGACAGTTTCAAATTTAATTTACTGAAACTGCTTGAAAAGTGCATTTCAATAATTTTGGAATTATTTATTGCCTCGATACATGGTCTCGATGATAATAAAACGTGTCAGACTTTTATCATCTCTGTAAGTTCATGAACCAAGCAAAATCCTTTATTTACCTGTATTGACTTTTGATTTGCATATGATCAGTTGATATTTTACTTCATAAAACAGTTTTTACAGGATAGTAGTTTACCGGGGAGGTTTGTTTTCTTCTAAATACCTTGAATAAATATATCATTAAATGATGCCAGGAGAATAATGTTTTTGTGATGAATATATTTTCAAATCGCTGGTTGTTTGTTATCTAAATAACATGTTTAAATAAGCCAATGAAAACCTTGCATTATTTTGTTGATTAAATCAATAAAGTCATTTGGAAGTCATTTGGAAGCAACTTGGAAGTCATTTGGAAATTTCTAGAAATTTGTAGAAGAAATAATATGAGTTTTAGTCATTCGGAAACAACATGGAAGTCATTCGGAACCATTTGGAAAGTTGTTCCAATACTCCGAATGGTGATTCGGAAATTCCAAATGAAGAATTCCAAGTGATTTACTTGGAGATTCCAAATGCAACTTGGAACTTCTACACACGGGGGAGGGCTTACTTCTCGATGTCAGTTGTAACAATAAATCACTGATACTACACTATGGAGAGATTTCAAAAGCGGCAAACTCAGATTTTATCAAGCAAAGAATTCACTTGAAAGAAAGCAACCAGTCATTTGAAACTATTTGAAAAAAAGGAGGGTGGTCAGCTCGATAATTGTATAACTCAAATTCTTTGGCTTAATCAAGTTTTTTTTTTAATATATATACTACAAACAATCATTACTTAAAAGTGGTATTTATTTGTCATGTCATTTTCCTGTTGTCTTTTCACTCTCCTGTAATTTCATCTTATATTAGGAAATTAAAAAATAAAGTTTCGTCTTCCCAACTACTCACTTACACTGAAAACAGATTAAACGGTTAAACTAAATTCGGATATTTTTTTTGAAGTTGGTAAAAAGATCAAGTACTAAACTGAAATATTTGAGATATTTTGTTTTATCTAATATGCTTGTACATGTATATTAATGAAGTTCAGTTCTTTTCATTTTGATAAAATATATTCAATACACTGTATGTATGAATTTTCATAGATCTGCCAAGTTTTTTTTAAGTACATATACTTACTGAAAAAAATCCTCAACTACTAAAAAAATATTTAAGTTGCTCTTAATTAAACATTGTGTCTGTCTTTCAGCAATCTGATTAAAACCAGATCTGTTCTACGCTTTGAAATTCTGATACAGCACAGATTCTGTACAGCGAATTTCAGATTGGTCTGAAACAGATCCTTGGATCTTTGTAAATTTTCCTCGCACACGGTATCGGTTCTGAAAAATGAAAGTTGGTTGGGGGGCTTTCTTATTTTTTTTTTTTATAAATAAAATATGTTTTGAAAAATGAGGATTATAGGCAGACGCTTGCACTCCTACTCCAAGTGCATACATTCTGTATCACATCATTCTGAAATAATAATTTTAAAATACTGTAGAAATTAATTTTATGCAGGCTGAAACATTGTAAGGTTGACAATTCTTTTCAAACAAGCGTCATTTTGAATGCAAAAGCATATTACAGAGTTGTCTTTTCTACTCCATTATTTAATTTCATTTTTTATGCCACTGGTTTCAATTATTTTGTCTACCATTCGAAGAGAAAAAACGCTTCAATTAAAGAATCAAGATTACGATTTATACCAATTCTGGTTAAAATCCCTAAAATTTTCATCAAGCCAATTTTCGTTTCAATAATTGAATAAAATTTCCAGGAAAATCTTAAATTATATTCTTATTCAGAAGTGGGTTTATTCAAACGTACAGTAACTAATTTAATTAAGGAATCACTGTCTAGTTTGTATAGTATGCCAGGGCATCAACGCTAGTGGGAAACATGGGATAATTTGCATAACGGATGAAGCCCGTTATGCATAAATTATCCCATGTTTCCCACTATTGTTAATGTCCCTTGCATACTTTACTAACTAGACAGTGATTCCTTATATTTCCATTTCATTGCATTGTGAAATAAAATTGTAGATTTAGACTTTAAAAATGTAAACATAGACTTAAATTACACGAGGATTTCCATGCCAATTTCAATAGTCCTTGCCCACTGACGTCAAACACATTGGCAGCCGCACGAGATTTTCATGCATATTTGTCCTCCTTAGCGTCAGACTCAGAGACAGCTGCGCACGAGATTTGCATGCATATTAGGCCTCCTTAGCTTCTGGCCTATCGACCTGCCTAATTTACATTCTGGCAGAATTATCAAGAAATAAACTCCGACAACTTTCAAAGAGTTATCACAGAGAAAAAAATAGAAATGGAAATATTAAGGTATATTACTGTACCTTAGTGTCAAATGCTTAAACAAAGTCTATTTCTTTACAGGTTGTTAGTACTCAGCCGATCCTTTCCTGTCCTGAGACAAAGGATACGGTCAAATATGTGTCCTCTTGTCCTCTAAACATGTCAGATGTTGATCAAGCCAGTCGCCTTAAGAATTGTTCATCATTTCCTCAGAATTGCACATCTTCAGACTTATTTATATATCACTGCTTACCCAATCATTTCCTAGATAAATTTGTTGAAGTGTGTGGTGTAGCTGTCGACATTATATACGGTAAATTTTTGGGTTAATTAAAAAAACAGTTTTTTTAGCTTACCGGAGCAGAAAGCTCAAACTGTTTTGATCACATTTTGTCTGTTTCTTTTTTTTTATTTTCGATATCTTATCAAGAACCACAGGATAATGTCAAACAATCTTAAGTTGGTCACAAACATCCTTGAGAAAAAAAAATCAAGTTTGTTCAGGAAAGAGCTACAACCTCTGTCAATGCAAAATAATTAAGGGGAAAAATAATTAAACTAATGGAATAAATTAATATATAGAAGTTAAAATTGACTGATGCATAAAAGCAATTTCTGAGACAAGAATTTGTTGATTACACAAGTTTAGGACACCATAGAATTACATGTATGTCCAATATCTAAATGAATGTTAATTATAAATTTTTCTTATTTTAGGACACTGTGCAGAATACAACGAAGGAGGAGGTGTTATACAGGAAAATTATCAAACCGATTGTACAAAATTTTCAAAACCTTGTCCGATTGAAAGTTACTCATCAGTTGATACATATAAATGTAAGTATGCTTAGTTTGTGATTTTCATAAAGTACATCGAGATCTTTGTTGCCTTAGAATATATACATTTACCGTCACTGTATTAACATATGTTCATTGTAGTAGAAATGTTTTCATGTGCTTAAATCCTGAATGCCAGAATATTTGCAGGCCCCCGATATTTTAATCTAATTTTTTAGGAGCGGTCTACAATTCCGCAAGGTCTCCTAAATGTTGCAAATACTCCTGTACATATCCATGTTTCGAAACGGTAACTGCAGGAAAAATAAATTCTTTTTTTCTTACACTCAACAACCTGGCCATTTTTAGAGTAAAGAAAGTGAAATAAAACTGCAAGTTGATGAAGCGTAATCTTCCGAAACCGTGACAGCTCTCCTTTAATGAAAAGAGACTTAGCTTGCGCTTGAAATTTAGGAAGGCTTGATAAATATATAAATACTTGTTTTGATATATGAATCATGTTTCATATACATGTACAACGATATTTATGTTTAATAAGGAAATTCGTACTTTATACACACCCCTCCCAATTCTCGTTGATTTTCACAAAAACATCGATAAAGGTCCGTAATTCTAATTAAAGTCAGTTGTTTCAGATCCGTTACCACTTCTCAGCAATTATAATGGATTCGGAACATCTAATATTGATGAGGTTTTACGTCGACACACACAAGAAATATATAAAAAAAAAAATAAGCCCCGATTTTCAATGCCTAATATGTACAAGTATAACTTTGCAAAACAAGAGGGAGACTACGCCATTCCTACCGGTTCCGATGTCTATGCTTTACCCAAATACTAGTATATATGTAATTATACTATTTACATTACTGGTTTGATATCGGAAACATATATTTCAGTTAACCTAAAATAGAAGAAAATAAGAGAATTCTAAGTACTGTAAAACGTACGAGAGAGAAAGAATTTTTGTAGTATGGAAAAATCAAAATTGCTCATTTTTTTCTTAAGAAAAAAAGACGATGCTATAAGTCGACCCACTATATCTACCGAAATTATACTATTAAACAATCATTTCTCCGTTATTTCTAAAGGGCCCCTTTCCCTATTTTGACATTTACAAGAACCTAAAATATTTAAAACGTCTATATCTCAGGTCATAAGCGACCCCAAAAGTTATCTAACCAGGTTAAATTATTTACTAAACCTAAAATTTGCGAAAATTTTTGGCCAAGCCATACACATTTTTCAAAGTGCATTGTTACAACGCGAAATGTTATAACAATGCAAAAATGTAATAAATCAGGATTATTGTAATTTGCGTTTTTACATTTTGCGTCATGATCAACGCAGAATGTAATAACGCAAAATGTAATAGCACACTTCTTAAGATTACTTAAAGTAAAATTACATTTTGTGTTGAAATTAAATCAAAGCAAAATGAAGTAACGAAAAATGTAACTAGTGCTAATTGTAACGGGAACCGTTACAGATGTTCCCCAAACGCTCCCCAACTCCCTTTTGATGCCATATTCCCTTAATAGACTTAATATCAAGGCATTTAATCCAAAATTTAAAAAAAAAATACACTCATTCAAGCATATTTTTAATTTTAATCATTTCACGTGCACGCACGTGCAAGCATGTGCATGATGACCATGCCTTCTTGTAGGGGTCCATTATGTCTATCAATATTCTAAATACCATCCTGTTTGGTTGAAAACGAAGGGAGTTATAACCATTTAAAGTTTAAGCCAATCAAATTTCAGCGGACTTGCATGCGCGTGATTTAATGACAATTGTTATATATCATATTGTAGCATCCTATTGTATGCTTATGTTTTAAATTCCGTAGCATTTCGTCAAAAAACAGAAATGATATTGAGATTTTTGTTTCAGCCAATTAGAGTGAAGAACAGGTGCACGCACGTGCATGAGACCATACCTTCTTGTTGGAGTCTATTATGTCTGTCTATGTTCTAAATCCCATCCTGTTTGGTTGAAAAACAAGGGAGTTGTAGCCATTTAAAGTTTAAGCCAATCAGATTGCAGCGCACGTGCATGCGCATGCTTTCACGACAACTGTTATATATCATATTGTAGGACATCCTAATGCATGACTATATTTAAAATTTCAAAGCATTTCGTCAAAAATTAAAAAAGATATTGCGATTTTGTTTCAGCCAATCTCAGCAAATCACACGTGCACACACATGCATGCATGTGCATGACGACCATACATCCTTGTAGGAGTCTATTATGTCTGTCTATGTTCTAAATCCCATACTGTTTGGTTGAAAAACAAGGGAGTTATAGTCATTTAAAGTTTAAGCCAATCAGATTGCAGCGCACGTGCATGCGCGTGATTTAATGACAATTGTTATATATCATATTGTAGGACATACTAAAGTATACCTATATTTCAAATTTCATAGCATTTCGTCAAAAAACAGAAAAGATACTGAGATTTTTGTTTCAGCCAATCAGAGCAAAGCGCACGTGCATGCGCGTGAGTTCGTGCTAATTTGACAGTGTCACATGATCTACAGTAGTAATATATCTTTATATAATGAGTTTCAAATCATTTCATCAAAAAATGTAAAAGTTATAGCTATATTAAGTATTTCAGTCAATTCACTCATTTCACGCGCACGCACGTGCATGCGTATGCGCGCAAAATGACTTTCATTCCGCACACCTACACAACACACCTATTAACCCTAAAAAGGTTTTAGCTCAGTTGGGTGAACAGTTTCTGAGAACACTCGCGGACAAAAAAAGTACCGGAGAAGAAATAAGAAAAAAAACTAGTGCTAATTGTAACGGGGACCGTTACAGATGTTCCCCAAACGCTCCCCAACTCCCTTTTGGTGCCATATTCCATGTAAGCTTCATTAAATAAGACAAACTCGATGCATTTGAGACTTTAACAACGTTTACCCAGAAGTGTACAAAGTTCATTCAAATTTTAGCATTGCACGCGTGTGCATGTGAATGCATGTGCGTAATGACCATATCATCTTGTCTACACAATCTATATACACATGTATTTAAATATACTAAATATTAAAGTATTTAATCCAAAAGTATTAAAAAGATACGCTCATTCAAGTGTTTTTTTTGATTTTGCTCATTTCACATGCACGCACGTGCATACATGAGCATGGTAACCATATCTTCTTGTAGGTGTCCGTTACATCTATCTATGTTCTAAATCTCAGCCCGTTTGGTTGAAAACGAAGGGAGTTATAGCTGTTAAAGTTTCAGCCAATCAGATTGCAGCGCACGAACATGCACGTGTGTGCATGTGCATGGTGACCATATTTTCTTGTAGTAGTCCAGTATATCTATCTATGTTCCAAATCCCGTCCTGTTTGGTTGAAAATCAAGGGAGTTATAGCTATTTAAAGTTTAAGCCAATCAGATTGCAGCGCACGTGCATGCACGTGTTTTCATGATAATTGCTATATATCATGTTGTAGGATATACTAATGCATGGCTATTTTCAAAATTTCAAAGGATTTCGTCAAAAAACAAGAAAGATATTGAGACTTTAGTTTCAGCCAATCAGAACGAAGCGCACGTGCATGCGCGTGAGATCTTGCTATTTTGACCATGTCATATTGTCTATGCTTCTAATATATCCTTATATTATAAGTTTCAAAGCATTTCATCAAAAATTTTAAAAGTTACGCCTATATCAATTAAATCGGTCATTTCACATGTTGCACGTGCACGCTCTTGCAAGCATGTGCGCGCAAAATGACCTTCGTTCCGCAAATCTACATAACATGTCTACTGACCCTAAAAATATTTCACCTTAGTCGGATGTATAGTTTACGAGATCATTCCCGGACAAAAAAGTACCCAGGAAGAAGAAGAAAAATAAAGATGTTCCCCAAACGCACCCCAACTCCCTTCTCGTGCCATATTCCCTGTAATTTTCATTAAAGAAGGCAAACTCTATGCATTTAAGACGTAAACCACGTTTTCCCAAAAGTATACCAAGTATTTCAAATTTAAGCAATGCAGGCGTGCGCATGTGATTGCATGAGCGTAATGACGATATCATCTTGTCTACACTATTTTACTCATATGCATGTGCACGCACGTGCATGATGACCATACCTTTTTGTAGGAGTCCATTATGTCTATCTATGTTCTTAATCCCATCCTGTTTGGTTGAAAAACAAGGGAGTTATAGCCATTTAAAGTTTAAGCCAATCAGATTGCAGTGCACGTGCATGCGCGTGTTTTCATGACAATTATTATATATCTTATTGTAGGACATCTTAAAGTATGCCTTTGTTTTAAATTTCAAAGCATTTTGTAAAAAAAACAGAAAAGATATTGAGATTTTTGTTTCAGCCAATCAGAGCAAAGCGCACGTGCACGCACGTGCATGCATGTGAATGGTGACCATACCATCTTGTAGGAGTCCTTTATGTCTATCTATGTTCTTAATCCCATGCTGTTTGGTTGAAAACCAAGGGAGTTATAGTCATTTAAAGTTTCAGCCAATCAGATTGCAGCGCACGTGCATGCGCGTGATTTCATGAAAAATTTTATATATCATATTGTAGTACATCCTAATACATGTCTATGTTATAAATTTCAAAGCATTTCATCATAAAACAAAAAAGATATTAAGATTTCTGTTTCAGCCAATCAGAGCAAAGCGCACGTGCATGCGCGTGAGTTCATGCAAATTTGACCATGTCATCTTATCTACACAACTTATATATCTTTATATAATAAGTTTCAAAACATTTTATCAAAAAATATAAAAGTTACAACCATATTAAATATATCAGTCAGTTTACACATTGCACGCGCCCGCACGTGCATGCGAATGCGCGCAAAATGACCTTCGTTCGGCACATCTACACAACATGCCTACTAACCCTAAAAAGGTTTTAACTTAGTTTGGTGAACAGTTTCTGAGAACACTTCCGGACAAAAAAGTACCGGAGAAGAAATAAGAAGAAAAAAGAATAATAATAATAATAATAATAACTAGGGCTAATTGTAACGGGAACCGT